AGCAAATTTAGAAAATAGTCACTCAAATCATTTTCTATTTATTCTCTTTTGGAACTTTGGTTGGAAAAGGCTGCCTTAGAAATTATAATATACACACTGGATTTATTACAGTTTATTTCAATTTACTACTTTTAGGACAGTGCAAAGACCTTATAATACTTTAGTTCTACTTACCCCACTCCTCTTGTGCTATTTTTGCCATATGTTTTAATTCCATAAACTCCACAAGACACTCATAGTGCTTTAATTATTCAATACACATTTAGATTTATCCAGATACTTTACTTTTTCCAGTGTTCTGCATTACCTTGCTTGCATCTGGGATATTTTTTCTTCTTGAAGACTTCCCTTTAGTATTTCTTTTTGTGCAGGTCTGCTGGCGAAAATCTTTCCTGGTTTTTGTTTAACTGAAAACATCTTTATTTTAACTTTCTTTAAGGCATTTGCTCTTATTATGCAATTCTAGGTTGGTCATTAATTTTCCTTCAGCACTTGAAAGATGGCATTCCATTATCTTCTGGTTTCCATTATTTTTATTGAAGTTAGTGTTGAGGGATAATTTTCCATGGGATATTGTGTTTCTACACATCTTACAAGCAGAGGCATTGACTACCTTTGTTTTGGACTATTTTTCAAGAATGCTGTATGGCACGCAGCCTTTGCATATAGTGATAGTGTCTCCCTCTGAAGCAGAGGACATTCATGTTTAGTGCCCATTATAAAACATTTGGGTGTCCTAGGCTCAGAGCACCTCTCCTGTGACAACTTATTACATGTGTCACCCAGTGGGAATTGGGATTCAGGAACTAAGACAAATGCTACTCTTCTGTCTACTGCTATTTCTGTGAGTAATAAAATGTCCTTTGTCTCATCTTGGAGTCTCATGTCTTCTGTCAGTGGCTATGAAACTGTGGTAGACCAACTTGTTAGCTTGCAAGTAGGGTAAGAATCCTAGATTTTTCATAGTTTTTGATAGTTTTGGTGACAAAGATAGATGCTAACACAGACATGGCTTTCTGGAAGAGGAAGCATGAGGGCCTTACAGGCTCTTTAACAGGATTTGCAGGAAGTCCATGGGAATCAGTAGCAAACATGTTGACTAAATTATGTGGTCAACTGAGCAATAAGTGTTTCCATTTTATTGCCTGATAATGAGTAGGAATTGGGGAGGTGGTTTCAGGCCAAATCCAGGAAGCATGTTCAAAGACAGCTGTCCAAATGGTGCCCTAATTGTTAATAAATCTCCTCCAGGGGAACTTGCTCACCTATTTAGTGGTCAGCCTCAGGTTCATCCCATTGTAACAACTAATAATTAAGATACACCCTGAGTGGATGGAAGTTTCTACCCCCTTTCAGACAACAGTTACAGAGACATGTACCTACACTGAGCATGAAAGGAGGGAAATTTGTGATCACTATGGACAGAAGCCAAGTGAATTGTTAGAACTTGGGTTGGTTTGCTTCAGTGGGGTGCCTAATGCTTAAGGAAGAATGGAAATGATGGGTTGTCTTACTACTTCAGCCCCTTCTATAGTCTGTCATGCTAACTTTAGATCCATTTGGATGACAGTAAAAGTCCTCACAGTTCTTTTGCAGTGGATCCAAGGTGTGATAGAGAAACTTTGGCACTCTGGGAGAGAGGAGCACTTCCCTCAGAATAGACAAAACTCCTGTGGGGAACCATGGATGAGGCATTAACTAGCATCCAGGCTTTTACAGCTCAAGATGGGATTTACATTGCTGATGAAGATGACCAGCTTTCTATGGAGAATTAGATACATTCTCAAGAGTCAGTCCTGCCTCACTGGAAAAGTCTCTTAGTTCTTATATTGAAATCAAGCAAGAATTTAAGAGATGTTATCTTGACAGTGGGGTAGTGAATGCTACCTTTAAAAAGTGTCTACTGTGCAAGTCAAGCTTGAGTCACCCAAGGGGCATAAACCCCACAGCCCCAACCAGAAAACAGCATGGCTGTGATTTTTTAATCAAGAGGTTCCTAAAGCTAAAATATATGATTAGTAATGACACCTTGCCACCTAGTAAGGGCTTTGCTCAGCCAATAACACTAGAAGTTCATTTAGTTGACCTGTGAGCAGCTATCGCACACCACTTGAAACTAAAAGTAAAATACACCTTATTTACTGATGCAGAACCTTTTTCCCCTTCGTGGTCCCTGATTCTGCCAGTTCCTTGTCCTGACTTCAGATGCTTTAAGGAGAAATATGATTAGAGGTGGCATTGAGGTCTTCCTTTCTCTAAGGGGCACTGAAAGCTGTATTCACTGATGTGAATGTGGTAAGATGCTTCAGGAAGGGTAAGGAATCACACTTATGGCTCTGTTATGTACAGGAGCCAGCTCACCATCCTAAATTGTTCCCTGGTGGGAGGAAGCACTTGAATTCACCTAATGGGATTTGGGCAGTAATTTGCAGTGGGAAAAGAGGGCTAACATGACTTGTGGGTGGAACCCTTTGGGCCAACTCAATGTACTATCGTTGCTTGTATATCTAAATGTGTAGTAGGAATTGATGCTGTATTTCAGTATCACTTAAGTACCAGAGAGGATTCTCGCAATTGGAAAGAGTTACATATACAGAAGTGCTGAAAGTCCTTTGGGATGCCTACAATCCTAGTGACTCCTTTGAACTACAGGCTTTGTGACTAGTGATACTGCTAATTGGAGCCTTTGGCAAAGGGAAGAAGCCTCCACTTGGAAGTGCCCCTTGGGGTTTTGTGGTTTTGCCCTTGAAACTAATGTGTGTTGTGTTTTCAGCTCTTCAGACCATTTGCAGTCTGACAGTGGTGAGCCTTTTGTAGTAAATACCACTGCAATGGGCCTGATAGTCAAGGAATTCAATGGAGTCTCCATGTGCCCTACCATCACAGGCATCTGGTATTGTCAAGCATAGGAATGTCTCCTCAAAAGTCAACTCAAAAACAAGTTCTGACTCTATCTCCCTAATCTTTTCCTGGTTCATATGACTTAGTTTGCTCACTGAATATGGCTATTCCCAGAAAAGGATCATGTCTTCTTGGGAAATAACCAGGATAAAAAAGGTGGATGACTAAGTAGATCTGTTTTTGAAAATTCAGGGTTCTGTTCTGACAATTCCTAATGTTTATTTCTTTTGCCTAATGGCAGTCCCTCGCATCCTGGTTGATATACCCTCCCATGGACAGCCTAGCCAAAATGGAGTTTATGGGGTTCAAATTTAATTCTGGTTCAGCTATCTGGATTCTTTTGTTTGATGATATGTTCTAAACTATGAAGATAATGATCACTTAGTTGAGTACTCTTCTCACCAAGTACACTTACAGTGGCCCATACAGACCAAAGTGTGGGACATAATATGAGCGTACTTCAAAAAGTTTATGGAAAGATTTGTACTATCTTTTAATTCTATTTTTCCACAAACTTTTTGAAGTACCCTCATACATATCTGTAAGTTTTATAAAAATTTCATGTCCCTCTTGCATTTGACCCTTCTGGGAGAAAGGTTTGAGTGTGAATAGAAGGTGATTGATAAAAAGATGAAGTTACAGCTGCTAGGATAGGACACATTTGTGTGGCAGTGAAGGGAGAACAACAACCTCAGCACCTGGGAGGGAATACCTTAGATCCCAGGAGGTACAAGGGAAAGAGGAAAATTAATGATCTTTGTCTTTAGAACCAATCCTGGAGCCTTCCTCACAAAAGATAATGCTATGGTACATGTCGCCCAAGTTCCATAAATTTAACTAACTATTGGGTCTGACATCCCCTGTCAGATAGTTCTGCTCATAATATGATCATACCAGTTCATCTTCTTACTGAGATTTCTATTAAAAAAAGCAGAGGATGACCCTAGCTCCTGCACTTCCCATGCAAAACACCTGTCGATATGTCCAGATGTATTTCTTATAGTAAAAGTAGGATAGATTCTTGATTTTTTACCCTTGTCTTACAACCAGTTTTCACAGTGATTTGTATTATCACTTTGTGGTCTTGTATTCGACACTACAGATTGTCATATATACAAATATAGATCTCTCTTATTTCTTAATTCAAGAATTTTATTTACTTTGGTATATTCACTGTTTAAAATAGCTAATACAGGTGATAAGAGTCAAACATTACAAAAGTGTATGCAATAAAAAGTTTCTCAGAATTTTTCATACCCTTGGCCATCTGACTCCCAATTTTCTTCAGATATAATCACTGTTATCATTTTCCTGGGTATTCTTCCTAAAAGCATTCCTGTAACCCTTTTATGGGCAGAACTAGGATGGACCTCCATCTGGGTGAGAATATAAGCTATCATTTTCATAGTAGAATGTCAAGTGTGCAACTTGATTATCTCTTTTGGGAGCCTAGGGATGTTTTCACACAATAAATTTAAATGGTTCTGTGAAAATTCAGTATTAAAGTGATTGGGATCATTGATGTTTATGGCTTTATTGTTTAAGGTGATTAGAACTCAGTACATGCTCCACTTGTGTGTTAACAGTTCATTTTTTACCATTTCTAAAAATTGGTAGACAAGATGCAAACAAAGTTAATTAAAGGGTTTTGTTTTCCTTTTCTTTTCTTCTTTTCTTTTTTTCCATTAATACCATACTTTTAGTCCAAGTAGTTGGGTAGTGCTAGATAAAACCTAACCAGCTTCTTTTCCTTTTTCTAGACTCCTTTACATTGCTTACCTTATAAATGTTAAATAATTGCTTAAGTATCAGCTCTAATTTAGTCACATGTTCCTGATCACAGTGATTAGATTTCAGTATTCCCAGATCTTCTGTGACAAATGTACAGAGCATATCTGATAAGTCACTTCTATAAATGGTTAATGTGATCCATTACTTGTTAATTCTTCCTAGTTTTCCTCTCATAGGGTAATTTTTCAGTGTTTTGGAGCATTCCCATATTGTGATGACATTTTATAGGTAAATACTGACCTGTTGTACCTGAAACTTTCTTACACTATGGAAAACACATTACATTTGAATTTTGTTCATTGTTCCAGATGGTGAAACTAAGACTAGGATTGGAGAGCCAGCTTCAGAGGAGGAAATTACAGTAAAAATTGAACCATTGACTGAAGGATCTGGCAGCCCTAGAGAGGATGTTCTCCAGGATTTTGAAGGCAGAGAATTCTGTGAATTTGGGGATAAATTAAATGAAAAAGATCAGAACTTCCTTAAAAGAAGACAACATAACTGTGATGAATGTGGGCAAAACTTTGCTTGGAGTACAGGCCTTATTAGGCATCAAAGAACCCATTGGGAAAAACCTTATGAATGTGATAAGTGTGGAAAGGCCTTTAGTGTGAGCTCAGCCCTGGTTCTGCATCAGAGAATTCATACTGGAGAAAAACCCTATCCCTGTAACTGGTGCATTAAAAGTTTCAGTCGGAGCTCAGACCTTATTAAACATCAAAGAGTTCACACTGGTGAAAAACCTTATAAATGTGATGAATGTGGGAAAGCCTTCAGTCAGAGCTCAGATCTTATTATACACCAGAGAATCCATACAGGAGAAAAACCCTATCAATGCAATCATTGTAGTAAAAGTTTTAGCCAGCGTTCAGATCTGGTTAAACATCAGAGAATCCACACTGGAGAGAAGCCTTATACATGTAACCAGTGTAACAAACATTTTAGTCAGAGTTCTGATGTTATAAAACATCAAAGAATCCACACTGGGGAGAAACCATATAAATGTGATGTGTGTGGGAAAGCCTTCAGTCAGAGCTCAGATCTTATTCTACATCAGAGAATCCATACTGGAGAGAAACCATATCCATGTAATCAGTGTAGCAAAAGTTTCAGTCAGAACTCTGATCTCATCAAACATCGAAGGATCCATACTGGAGAGAAACCCTATAAATGTAATGAGTGTGGAAAAGCTTTTAATCAGAGCTCAGTCCTTATTCTACATCAAAGAATTCACACTGGAGAGAAACCCTATCCTTGTAATCAATGTAGCAAAACCTTCAGTAGGCTTTCAGATGTTATTAATCATCAACGAATTCACACTGGAGAGAAGCCTTACCCTTGTAATCAGTGCAGTAAGATGTTTAGTCGAAGATCAGATCTTGTTAAACATCATAGAATTCATACAGGTGAGAAACCCTATGAATGTGATGAGTGTGGGAAAACCTTTAGTCAGAGCTCCAACCTTATTCTACATCAGAGAATTCACACTGGAGAGAAACCTTACCCATGTAGTGATTGCACTAAAAGCTTTAGTCGTCGTTCAGATCTTATTAAGCATCAAAGAATACACACTGGTGAGAAACCGTATGCATGCAATCAGTGCAATAAAAGTTTTAGTCAAAGCTCGGACCTCACTAAGCATCAGAGAGTGCACTCTGGTGAAAAGCCCTATCACTGCGATAGTTGTGAGAAAGCCTTCAGTCAGAGTTCTGACCTTATTCTTCATCAGAGAATTCACACTGGAGAAAAACCATATCCATGCACACAGTGCAGCAAAAGTTTCAGTCAGAACTCAGACCTTATCAAACACCAGAGAATCCACACGGGGGAAAAACCATATAAATGTAACGAGTGTGGGAAGGCTTTCAGTCAGTGCTCAGCTCTTAACCTACATCAGAGAATCCACACTGGAGAGAAGCCATATCCATGCGATCAATGTAGTAGAAGTTTTAGTCGGCGCTCTGATCTCATTAACCATCAAAGAATCCACGCTGGTGAAAAGCCATATAAATGTGATGCATGTGGGAAAACTTTCAGCACATGCACAGATCTAATTGAACACCAGAGAATCCACACTGGGGAGCAATCCTACCAGTGTGTTCAGTGCAGCAGAAGTTTTAGCCAACTCTCCAATCTTACTAATCATGAGAAAGTCCATTCCGGGGAAGACAGTCTAAATGCAATGAATGTGGGAAAACCTTTAGTATATACACCGAATTTATTTAGTACCAGAGACACTGTACCACAAAGAAAATCTTATGAATGCTATTGATGAATATGAAAAAGGCTTTAGTCAATGCTCAACTCATACTACATTAAAAAATAAAAACGAAAAACACTGGGGAGAAAACATTGATTCTGTGTTCATAATGAAAGTTTAAATTGTAGCTCAGACATTACTAAAATTAAGAAAAATTTTGAGGAGGAGTCTTGTGAGGTGTGGAAAACTCAATGTGAATGAAATTTTTACTGAATGCCAGTAAGCAACAATAGAAATTCCTGTCTTTGCCATAATGTAAGAAAAGCTCTAGTATTTTATTCAGACATAATGCACGAGAGGTGTGTCATTGTAAGAAATGTATAACAGTATTAATGCAGAATTTATCAAATATTATAAAAATCAGTGTGTGGAGAGCTGTTCAATCAGAACTCAGAAGGAAATGTATTAGTGTTATAATCTCAAATCTTTACTGGACCATAATTACCAATTGCATATCAGAAGTTATTTTAGAGAATTTAAGGAAAACTTAAATACCATCTGTATCTTTAAATGGCATGTATCCTGATATCACACTTATTCCATGACAGCTAGAGATTCCTGCCTTTTGCTAATACTAGATATCTATCTTTAAATTACCTGTGTGTGAACATGGTACACTATTCTGGTATTAAACTTATTAACTAGACAACTACAGGGCCCCGCTTTCTCAGAAGTTTTTTGATTTTTGTTTTGGTCTAGTTTTGGTTTTCCTAGTAAGTGTGAGTTTGTACAATTTTCAAATGTTCACAGCAAATATGGATTTATTTCACTCTCAGTACTGTAGCTTATAAATTTTATTGGTTTGAAATCGCTTCGCTACCATTTAATCACAGCTTCTAAACATGTGAAACAGGATTTTTTTTATGTCAAAGTGTGAAGATTTTTCTATTACTGTTTATCTAGTCATGTACAGACTGAACAAAAATGGTAGTTATGATATTGTGATTTATAATAAATTTATATCTGGTTTTCATCCCTTGGCACAGAGCTCCTAAAACCCTTGGAATTTCCTAGGTGATAAAAGTGGTAAGATGAAAGGAGTGTCTTTTGTTATTCATAACAAGCACCTTTCAACACAGCAGAGTTACTGTTAATAAGTTGACTTTTGGAAAAACCTTAAGAGAACCACAGGATGGGGGGTTGGTTGCCAGGAGAACTCACCATGTGATTAGAGAGTTGGAACTTTCAATCCTACCCCACCTTAACTTCTTGAGAGGAGTGAGGGGCTGGAGATTTAGTTCAATCACCTCTGACCAGTGATTTTTTTTTTTCAAAAGATGACCGGTAAGGGGATCTTAACCCTCGACTTGGTGTTGTCAGCACCACGCTCAGCCAGTGAGCGAACCGGCCATCCCTATATGGGATCCGAACCCGTGGCCTTGGTGTTATCAGCACCGCACTCT